ATCCATATAAAACTACAAGGAAGACCAGTTAATACGACTATTATTCAAATTTATACACTAACCACTAATGCCAAAGATGAAGAAATTGAAGATTTTTATCAACTTCTACAGTCTGAAATTGATCAAACACACAATCAAGAGGCATTGATAACTACTGGTGATTGGAATGGGAGAGCTGGAAACAAAGAAGAAGGAACAGTAGTTGGAAAATACGGCCTTGGTAACAGAAACACTGGAGATTACGTGATAGAATTTTGCAAGATCAACGCCCTATTCATTAGAAATACTTTTTTTCAGCAACATAAACAGCAATTATACATGTGGACCTCACCAGACGAAACACAGGAATCAAATCAACTATATCTGTGGAAACAAATGATGGAGAAGCTTAATATCATCAGTCAGAACAAGGCCAGGGGCCGACCGCAGAACAGACCATCAATTACTCATACGCAAGTTCAAGTTGAAGCTGAGGAAAATTAAAACAAGTCAACGAGAGCCAAAGTATGACCCTGAGTATAAAACCCAAAAAACCTGTTGCCATCAAGTTGATTCTGACTCATAGCAACCCTATGGGACAGAGTAGAACTGCCCCATAGGGTTTGAGTATATCCCATCTGAGTTGAAAACCATCTCAAGAGTAGATCTGACGCACTGAACACTACTGACCGAAGAACAGATGAGTTGTGGGATGACATCAAGGACATCATACATGAAGAAAGCAAAAGTCCATTAAAAAGACAGGAAAGAAAGAAAAGACCAAAATAGATGTCAGAAGAGACTGTAAAACTTGCTCTTGAACGTAGAGTAGTATCTTAGTTATCTAGTGGTGTTATAACACAAATACCACAAGTGGATGGCTTTAACAAAGAGAAACTTATTCTCTCACAGTCTAGAAGGTTAGAAGTCCAAATTCAGGATGCCAGCTCCAGGAGAAGACTTTCTCTCTCTGTCAGCTCTGTGGAATGGTCTTTTTCATCAATCTTCTCCTAGTCTAGGAGCTTCTCCATGTAGGAACCCCGAGTCCAAAGGATGTGCTCTGCTCCCAACACTGCTTTCTTGGAGGTATGAAGTCCCCGTCTCTCTGCTCAGTTCTCTCTTTTATATCTCAAAAGAAATTAATTTAAGACACAACCTAATCTTGTAGATTGAGTCCTGTCTCATTAACATAACTGCATCTAATCCTGCCTCATTCATATCATAGAGGCAAGATTTACAACACATAGGAAAAACACATCAGATGACAAAATGGTGCACAATCACACAATACTGGTAATCACGGACTAGCCAAGTGGACACACACTTTTGGGGGACACAATTCAATCCATAACAAGCAGCTAAAACGAACAGATGAAATGATGAAGTAAAAGAGCTGAAGAGAAGATTTGGCTTGAGAAGACAAAGAAAAGTATTATAATGAAATAGGCAAATAACTGAAGTTAGAAGATCAAAAGGGAAGAACATGCTTGGGATTTCTCAAGCTGAAAGAAATGAAGAAAAAATTCAAGCCTCAAGTTGCAATACTGAAGGATTCTATTGGCAAAATATTGAACGATGCAGGAAACATCAAAAGAAGGTGGAAGGAATACACAGTCACTGTACCAAAAAGAACTGGTAGACATTCAACCATTTCCGAAGGTAGTATATGATCAAGAATCGATGGTATTGAAGGAAGAAGTCCAAGCTGCACTGAAGGCACTGGCAAAAAACAAGGCTCCAGGAAATAACAGAATACCAACTGAGATGTTTCAATGAATGGATGCAGCACTGGAAGCGCTCATTCGTTTATGCAGGTAAAATTGGAAGACAGCTATCTGGCCAACCAACTGGCACACATCCACATTCGAGCCCATTCCAAAGAAAAGTGATTCAACAGAATGCAAAAATTATTGAACAATATCATTAATATCATACACAAGTAAAATTTTGCTGACGATAACTCAAAAATGGTTGCAGCAGTCTACCAACAGTGAACTGCCAGAAATTCAAACTGGATTCAGAAGAGGACGTGGAGCAAGAGATATTATTGCTGATGTCAGATGGATTCTTGGCTGAAAGCAGAGAATACCAGAAAGATGTTTACCTGTGTTTTATTAACTATGCAAAGGCATTCAACTGTGTGGATCATAACAAATTATGGATAACATTGCAAAGAATGGAAATTATAGAACACTTAATTGTGCTCATGTGGAACCTGTACAGTCATTTGAACAGAACAAGGGGACACTGTGGTTTAAAATCAGGAAAGGTGTGTGGCCAGGTTGTATCCTTTCACCATACTTATTCCATCTGTATGCTGAGCAAATAATCTGAGAAGTTGGGCTATATGAAGAAGAAAGCTACAACAGGATTGGAGGAAGACTCATTAACAACCTGTGATACGCAGATGACACAACCTTGCTAGTTGAAAGTGAAGAGGACCTGAAGCACTTATTGATGAAGATCAAAGACCACAGCCTTCAGTATGGATTACATCTCAACATAAAGAAAACAAAAACCCTCACAACAGGACCAATAATCAACATCAAGATAAATGGAGAAAAGACTGAAGTTGTCAAGGATTTCATTTTACCTGAATCCACAATCAATGCCCATGGAAGCAGCAGTCAAAAAATCAAACAATATATTGCACTGGGCAAATCTGCTGCAAAAGACTTCTTTAAAGTGTTAAAAAGCAAAGATGTCACTTTGAGGACTAAGGTGCGCCTGACCTAAGCCGTGGTATTTTCAACTGACTCATACGCATGTGAAAGTTTGACAATGAATAAAGAAGACCAAAGAAGAATTGACGCATTTCAAGAAGAAATGCAAAGAATTGATGCATTTCAATTATGGTGCTGGTGAAAAATATTGAATATACCATGGACAGACTGCCAGAAGAATGAACAAATCTCTCTTGGAAAAAGTACAGCCATAATGCTCCTTAGAAACGAGAATGGCAAGACTTCATTTCACGTACTTTGGACATGTTATCAGGAGGGTCCAGTCCCTGGAGAGGGACATCATACTTGGTAGAGGGCCAGAAAAATAGAGGTAGACCCTCATGGAGATGGACTGACAAAGTGGCTGCAACAATGGGCTCAAAGACAGCAACAATTGTGAGGATGGTGGAGGACCCAGCAGTCTGTTGTGTGTGGAGTCTCTCTGAGTCGGAACTGACTTGATACCACCTAACAATAACAGTATCTGAAATACAAAAATATAGTTTTTTAAAAAAATTTCATATATATCATAATGCCTGCCCTGCCTAGTTCACAGAGACATGAGGATTTGGAGAAATGGCTTAAGTGAAAAGTTCTTGGTAAACCACGTGTTGATTCTCAGACAAATACATTATCACTTCTAGTCTTACGTAGTTTTTCGTCTATGTTGATATTAACTTGATTACTCAGTTTTCACTGCATTTGATTCTGAATGACTTTTGGCTCTTTCTATAAGTCAAATCCAGCCTCACATCATGAAAACCTGCTATTGATAAAAATATTCAATCAAGTCTGTTGTTGCAAGCTTTGCAGACAACTATAGAGGAGGAATTCTAAAATGTTCTGAGCACCAGTAGCATCATGCAAATGAGTCATAGTCTTTCCAAGTGGCTATATGAAAGGGAATAACTCTCACACAGGTCTACAAGTCGTAGTCCATCAACGACAGAAAATCAGTCTCATTGTGTTCCTATGCTTATGACATTTTCCCACTGGTCAACTCCATCTCCCTCCTGAGGTTACAAGGCTATTAAGAACACTAGAGTATGGTGGTTAAGAGCATGGCTTTGCAGTTTTCAGCTTGCTTGGGTTAACGCATATAAAGCTCATAGTCCAGTGCCTAGCATAAGCAAGACCACAATAAATGCTATTGCCGCTGCTGTTGTTACAGTTATTATTAATGGCAAGAACTGAGTCTCTTATTTCCCTGCTATTGTCTCATAAGACCATACGTATATTTATTTAGCTCAGAGGTCAGTAAACATTTCTTAAAGGGTCTTTTAGGCTTTGCCATCCAGTCTCTTTCACAACTACTCAACTTTGCTCTTGCAGCCTGAAAGTGGCCATAAACAATATGTAAATGAATGGGCATAGCTTCGTCCCAATAAAATTTTATCTACAAAAACAGGCAGTAGACTGGACCCTGCCTGTGGGCCAGAGTTTGCTGACCCGTGATCTAGCCAACTGTTGATGCTATTTTCATGTAATCTGCATATGACCACGTGGACTATGCAATAAATCTTCTGACTACCAAGATATTTTACATTTACTAACATTCAGTTACTTTTAGTAACAGGTAATTCTACCCACCGCCTTCCCTGTGTTCTCTATAACTGATCTGGCAGCCCTATAAGTATCCAAAACAAAACAAAAAAAATCCCATTGCTGTCGAATCGATTCTGACTCATAGTGACCCCTATAGTATCCAGAAGACACAAAAAAGTGACAGAAATTCAGCAAGTACATCAAAGGCCATAAGAAAGCGCCATCACATCACAGCTTTGCTACAGGCCTTAGACCCTTATAACTGATGAAAAGCTTGTGGATTTCTCAAAAGAAAAGTTGTAAGACAAGCAAAACTATAAAAAAAAAGAAGCCAGGTTTCCATTTCAGTCTTAGTTTCACTTTTGCCCTCATCAATTTCTAATTCACTGCAGGAAAACAGTAATGAGGAAACAAGAGCACACTGCTGTTTCTTTAAGCATGTTGATAGCTAATTTATAAATCCCTTTCCAGCTCCACAGTTACCAGAAGCACCATAAAATTCCTTGGTAATCATATCTAGGACAAGACGGCGCACGGTCCTAACAGCAACCTTTGTCTGTTGAAGAGCTCAGCCTTACCATATTGCTTCTACCCCTTTCCCCCGTAGCCTTCTGAGCTGCTGTAAGGGCCAAGTGGAGAAGAAGCAGCATGATGGCGGATTCTCTACTTGGGAGCTGACCCTCTGCATGTGTATGTGTGGGAGGGCTTTGCAACATGTACAGAGGATGCCAAACTGGAGCCTGCTGGACTCACCTGCAGCTGGAGGCTCAGGGCTCTGTGCTTCATGGCTAAGGCGTAGAGGACACGACCCACATGGACCTGCTCTAGGCGCTGCCTCCATTTGCTCCACCACACCCTGTCAAAGAGCAAATGGAAGATGGAACCAATGAGAAAAAAGCCATCTGAAAAAGAGAAAGGCAGTCAGGGTTGGGCCTAAGGCCGTCAGCTCAAGTCCCTCTCTCTCATGGTGCCATCTCTAGACCGAGACCTGTAAGATCCACTGTTGGAAAAAACACAATCGAGAAACTGTCCTAGAGCTGCTGATTACAGGCTGCAAACTGATGGTTCCTAAGGTTACATTCAGTCTTAGACACTACGAACATACTCTGTTTGGCTTACACAATTTTTAAACATATGAATTACTGCCAATATTTAAAAATCAGGAGATTATACAGAATAATTGGCTAAGTAAGAAGGTCTGACAACTACTGATTGTCTGGGGCCAACAAGTGGTAGCTTTCCAGTCTGGATGGTTCCCTTCCCTTTCTACTGGACTGGCCAGGTTTTCATTTTCATTACAGTTCCTTTCCTGCTTCATTATTTTCTAATTCACTGCATGAGAACAGTAATGAGGAAATGAGAGTTTGCAGCATCTGCTTATTGAAACACTCGCTTTTCCTGGTCACTCTAACCCACCATGGTACAATGAATTACTTAACATGGCCCTTCTAGCCATGGTCTTTGCGACTCACACAAAATGACTGAGTGGGACTATGTAAATCAGGTATATGGAACATGTGATTGCTGGGGTTATATGTCAACTTGGCTAGGCTGTGATTCCCAGTATTGTATGGTTGTCCTCCATTTCATGTGTTGTAAATCTTAATCTCTACATGTTAAATGAGGCAGGACTGATGTGGGGTATATCTTGAGTGACAGCCTTGCAGAAGGGCGTGACTCAAGTCCCACTCTCACTCAAATTACACCCCTCCCTGGGGTGTGGCCTACATCCAAGGTATATATGTGAGTGCTCTGGCGGGGCTCGCTCTCTCTGCATCTGGATCCGGCATCTGATTCATGATCATCTACTCTGATTCTTGACCTGCATGCTATCTGACCTGATGCAGCCCCATGGGCTGGTAGCCTATCATCTGACCTGATTTGACAGCTTCTGCAGCCTTGTGAGCTAGCAGCCTGTGGTGTGACCTGCTGGTTTGGGTTCATCAGCCCCTGCATCCGCATGGGTCGGGAGAAGCCTACGCCTGACCCGTGGATTTGGGACTTGCCAGCCTCAACAACCGTGTAAGCCATTTGCTTTATAAGGTTCATGAGTTCTGTGAGATGTTGCAGCAAATTACAGAACCCAAAGATAAGAGGGAAAGTACTGAAGGGAAGGGGAATAGTTGACGTTAGAGATGATGGAGTGGTACAGCAGTTTGGAAAAGTTGGACATTTGGGACATCTTTAACCTCTGCCTCATAGGAACCAGCTTTGTGCTGATGCTTACAAAATGAAATTATTTGTTTACTCACAAAGAGCTCTCTTTCTTCCTAACCTAGGCTATGCTTACCTGCATTACTCACTTCAAAAATTTAGGCTGTCTTGCATTATCATCTTTTTAAGCACTTATAAAATTATAAGTTCCCTGAATGCAGTCCAGCACTCAATACAGTACCAGGAACATTATAAGCCCTCAATAAGTAAACAATGAATAAACAAATGTATGATGGGAAAATATCCCCCACAGACTCTAACAGAATTGCATGCTTATTAAGTATTTAGAAATATTTGCTGAATAAATTTTAAATAACTTTATGTTCACCACTGAAGTTCTGTATATCACGCTAAATACTTTGCAGATATTGTCTTATTTATTCCCCATGACAAGATATTTAATGATGTGCCTATTTAAAAGATAAGGAAAGTGAGATTAGGAGCAGAGGCGTCATTAGGAGGGTGCGTGGGGTACGGACCGCACCCATTGTCACTGTCAGAGAGGGTGACACCAAAATGATTTCAGGGTGTACAGCAGCAGCAGCAGCAGGTGGGCCGGTGCCACTGGGGGAGGGGCTGCCAAGGCAGTGGTGTTACTAGGGTTGGTGTTACCTATCACTCAGTGCAGTAACTTGTCACCACCTACCCCATCACCCTACAGTCAGGGTGTGGGCAGCTGGGTTGTAGCACCCGCCATCGGGCAGAGAGGAGGGTCTCCACCTTGGCCAATGGGAGAGGGAAGGAGCTGCAGGGAGTCATTGGGGGGCAGGCCACGCAGTGCTTAGCCCTGCATGGGGGCAAGGCTGGACCACTCGGCCTACCAGGAGGGTTCGCTGGCCGGCCCTGCCCACCCCAGGCTGGGGGAGGAGGGTGACATCATGAATTACTGCACTGAGTATCACCAACCCTAGTGACGCCACTGATTAGGAGAGGTGAGATAACCCGAAAATCTATGTTGCAGCTGAGATTCAAGCCTGTTAGCCTAGCTGCAAAGCTTCTGTTCTTACCCATACTATATACAGTGCCCAGTTCTTCTGGGTAGGAGGTGAGCTATTAGTATCCTGCCACTCAGAACCCCAGAGGACCACTAGAGACAAGGTACAGTGGAATCAATCCTATTATAAAGCAGCTCTTTGTTACAAACGTCTGGCTTTAAAAGTGGGCTAACTCATGTCTCGCCAACACGTGAACAATGATGGTGAGATGAAGTGCAGGGCCACAGTTCAGAGCATGGGCTTTGATATCAGAAAAATGGACAAGTGAACCCTGGTTTTGCCAACTATAACTTGTATGAGCTTGTGCAAGTTACTCAACTTTTATAAGCCTTAGTCTCCTGATCTGTATAATAACAGTACTTGTTTCACAGTTTATGGTGAAGATTAAAAGATTTTTTTAACATAAACAAATTAACACACATACACAAAATTAACACAGGGTTTAAAACATAGTTTAAAAAAAACCAAACCCGTTGCTGTCAAGTCAATTCCGACTTGTAGTGACACTACAGGACAGAGAAGAACTGCCCCATAGGGTTTCCAAAGAGCGGCTGGTGGATCTGAACTGTGAACCTTTTTGGTTAGCAGCCGAGCTCTTAAGCCAAGCTCTTAACCACTGTGGTAAGTACTCCATTAATGTTCACTTATGATTATATAAAAACCTAATCTTACATTTGATCTTATAAATACTTATTAGGCATTGATTATGTTTGAAGCATTATTTTGAGATGAGTTTTTATGCTGTTTTACAGCAGCATAAAGCAAAGCTGAGGTAAAATACTGCCTATTGATCAGCAGGGCAATTGAGTCCACTCACCACAAGATATTCCGCTGCCTAAACTCCAGGGCGGCAGTCTGCATCTGAAGTTTGGTCCTACGAACCACCACGTAGATCAACCAGGACTTCCAGGCTTGGCGCATCTTTTGCTTTGCATCTAGATCCATCAAGGAGATTTTTAAAAAGGTACTCGGGGGAGATGAATTACCCTGGGTTATGATAAAAGCTCAAATGCTCTCCATACTCATCCTTCCTTTAAAAACATAAATCCCACCAGTCTTCAAGTGCCCCCTGCTGGGAAAGTTGTGAACTGCAATAAAATTAAAAAGGATGTAACTGCACTTGAAGAATGTTTTATAAGTGATGACATTCACAAAACATTTAAGGGAAAATAAATGTACGGTACTAGTCAAAAATAGTTTATTTTAAAAGTCTTTATTTTTTTAGAGGTATATTCTGGGATATTCACAGATGAAATAAAGCTACTAACACGGGAAGAGGAGAAGTGAGTGGGGATACAGATAAAACAACACTAAAGCTGGATGGGGCCAGTACATGGAGTTCATTGCACTATGCTTAAATTTATAGGTATTTAAAAATTTCCATAATGTAAGAAGAAATAATAATGTTATAAAACCGGTTGTTTGAAACGGTAATTGCAAAGTAGAAAAAAGGAAGGGATGTGTCTAGAAAACAGAATAAAAAGTACCATTAATGATATTGAAAGACAAATAATTTACTAGATACGGGAGCTGTACATCTCCATTTTTGGTAAATTCCACTTTCATTATAACAGTCACCACTAATAAAAGTAAATTTCTTTTTAGAACAAAAAGGAGAAAGTAAGATCATGTAAGCCATTTTTAGGACATTATCCAAAATGTCAATAGGATTATAACTATACTTTATATTTCAGGGTTGTTGGTAAAGCAAATCAAAATATGAAGAAGAGTTTAACATATAGCTTCCTCAGGCCCACCCCAGGAATTCCTCAGGAATCACCACACTTTAGGCAATGAGGACTAGCATGGTGCCATGGCTTAGATTTTGGGCTCCTGAGTCAGGAAAGCTGTTTGAATACTGACTCTGTCACTTATGAGTTAAGTAACCTCACACAAGTTTCTTATCTGTACAACCATACCTCCCTTAGAGGTATGTTTGTGAAGGGTAATGAGATAACCTATGAAAAGTGTCTCCAGGCATGCCCTGAAATAGTTGTCATATATCAAAAAAAATAACTTTTTATATTAAAACCTCAAGTTACTTTTCCCACTATTCCATAATACAGCTGTATTCATTATAACTGTAAATGACTATATAAGACAGCAGAATACACATTTTTTTCAAGTACATATAGAACATTCACAAGATAGACCATATTCTGGGCCATAAGACAAATTTAACAAATTTAAAAGAACTGAAATCATACTAAGTATTGTTCTCTAATCACAATGGAATATACTAGAAATCAATAATAGAAATATATTGGAAAATACCCAAATATTAGGAAGTTAAACATACTTCCCAATAATCTAAAGGCCAAAAACGAAGTTTCAAGGGAAATCAGAAAATACTTTTTTTACTGAATAAAATGAAAATACAACATATCAAAACTTGTGTGATAAAGTTAAAGCAGTGCTTAAAGGGTAACCCTGCTGATGTAGTGGTTAAGAGCTACATCTGCTAACCAAAAGGTCAGCAGTTTAAATCCACTGGGTACTCCCTGGAAACTCTATGGGGCAGTTCTACTCTGTCCTATAGGGTCACTATGAGTCAGAATCGACTCGACAGCAATGGTTTTTTTTTTTTTTTTAAGGGAAAATTAAGCAGTAAATGTTTATGTTAGAAAAAATAGAAAAGCCTCAAATCAATAATCTCAGTTTATACCTTAAGAAACTAGAAAAAGAAGAGCAAATTAAAACCACAGTTGGTAAAACCAAGATGATAATAATAGAGATAGGAGCAGAAATCAAAGAAATTGAAAACAAAAAACAATGTCAATGAAAAAGCTAGTTATTTGAAAATATCAATACAATTGATAAAGCTTAGCCAGACTGATGAAGAATAAAAAAAAGGAAGATATAAATTACCAATATAGGGAATGAAAGAGAGGATATCCCTATAGACACTGCAGAAATTAAAATTATAACAATGGAATACTTCAAACAACTTTATGCTTATTAAATTTACACAATATATTTGAAACGTACCAATTCCTTGAAAGGCACAAACTACCAAAACTCATTCAAGAAGAAATAGATAAACTGAATAGTCCTATATCTATTAAAGAGCTAGAATTTGAAGTTAAAAATCTTGCAACAAAGATACCTCCAGGCCCAGATAATCTCACTGGTGAATTTTACCAAACATTTAAGGAAGAAACAATACCAATTCTACAAATCTCTTTCAGAAAACAAAAAAGGAGGAAACACTTCCCAACTCATTTTTATGAGGCTAGTATTGCCTTGATACCAAAACCAGACAAGAAAACTACAGATCAATATTCCTAATGAACATGAATGCAAAAATCCTCAGCAAAATAACAGAAAATGGAATACAGCAACATGTGAAAAGATAATACACCATGACCAAGTGGTGTTTATCTGAGGAATGCAAGGCTGGTATAACATTTAAAAATCACTCTATGTAATTCACCGTATTAATAAATTAAACAAGCCACATAATCATTTAAATAGATTTCGAAAAAGCATTTGACAAAATTCATCACCTATTCATGATAAAAACGCTCAGGAAACTAGGAATAGAAGAGAATCTGATAAAGGCAATCTACAAAAAAACCCTACAGCTAACATCATATTTAATGGTTAAAGACTGAATGTTTCCCCCTGCCTTAGGCTGGGTTCCCTAAAGGAGCAAAAGAGCAAAACTAGTGAAGCGTGTAAATAAATATATTAACCTGCGTTATGCAGATGACACAACCTTGCTTGCTGAAAGTGAAGAGGAACTGAAGCACTTACTGATGATGATCAAAGACTACAGCCTTCAGTATGGATTACACCTCAACATAAAGAAAACAAAAATCCTCACAATGTGACCAATAAGCAACATCATGATAAACAGAGAAAGGACTGAAGTTGTCAAGGATTTCATTTTACTTGGATCCACAATCAACACCCACGTAAGCAGCGGTCAAGAAATCAAATGACACACTCCACTGGGCAAATCTGCTATAAAAGACCTCTTTAAAGTATTAAAAAGCAAAGATGTCACCTTGAAGACTAAGATGCGCCTGACCCTAGCCATGGTGTTTTCAACTGTCTCTCATCATGCAAAAGCTGGACAATGAGTAAGGAAGACTGAGGAAGAACTGATGCTTTGAATTATGGTGTTGGTGAAGAATAATGAATATATCATGGACTGCCAAGAGCACAGATTTGTCTTGGAAGAAGTACAGCCGGAATGCTCCTGAGAAGCAAGGATGGCGAGACTACATATCACATACTTTGGACACGTTATCAGGAGGGACAAGTCCCTCCTGATAAGGACATCATGCTTGGTAAAGTAGAGGGTCAGCAAAAAAGAGGAAGACCCTCAACAAGATGGACTGACACAGTGGCTGCAACAATGGGCTCAAGCATAAAAACGATAGTGAGGATGGTGCAGGACGGGCGGTGTTTCATTCTGTTGTACATGGTGTCGCTATGAGTCAGAACCAACTCAATGGCCACTAACCACAGCAACAATTTCAGGGGAATGGCTCACACAGTTGAGGAGGCTGGCAAATCCCAAATCTGTGGGTCAGGCAGCAGGCTGGAGGCTTCTCCTAACTCAAGTGGTTGCAGGGGCTGATGAACCCAAAAGCAGTAGGTCAGGTGGCAGGCTGCTGGCTCATGTCCCAAGAACCAGAGGTCAGAGAGGCGGGGCCAAGATGGTGGAGTAGTCAGATACTTCCTGTGGTCCCTCTTGTAACAAAGACCCGAAAAAACAGGTGAATCAATTATATATGACAATCTAGGAGCCCTGAATATCAAAGGAAAAGTTGAGAAATTGGACTGAGCAGCAGGGGGAGGGAGAGATGGTTCAGAAGTAGTGAGCAGTTGCTGGACCTGACCCGGCAGGAACAGACACCTTGCAGGCGGGATGGGCTGGTGTGCACAGTAAGGGAAGCAGTGGTGCTCGGGACACGTTTTCCACATTGGGAGAGACTGAGAGGCGGAGAGTTTACTCAAGCATCCAGAACTAGTGAAAAGCGGCGCTTGATCGGCAAAAGATAAGTACGTGTGTCTAACCTACTGCGTGTATCAAAAAACACCGCCTTTGGGAAGAACTGCTCTCCCATTCACCTGCCCCCTCCCTGCTCTGCACCAGTCCCAGGCTGGCTTCAGCAACTGCCACGTCCCCTGGGTCATGCACCCTGAGCCATTCTCTCAGCTTTGGAGGGGGAACAAACAAACAGGAAAAAATAATCTGCCAGCTCCCCTAAGCCAGGAACTCATGGCAGCCACAGCCCCTTTGACTAGGCACAAGCATAAGGGGGCCACAGACTTTGAATGCCTTTCACACCTGCACAGACCTGTGTGGGCCTATTTCAACAGCGTAGACCCTCATTAGCACAGTACAACAGGGTATATACTTGAAGCCTATTTTCAACCATATCAGCTATAAAGTGGAGTGGCAGATTCGTGACATGTGACACCACTTGGCCCATTAAGCAGGGTCCTCACTTACCCCACATCAGGGGCCTGACGACTGGTGGCTCCTCCCACTCCACCTAGCCACCCCCGACACGGGTCCAAGAATAAGTGGTGCCTCCCAGTCCTTACAGTCAACTGCACTGAGTCCCCATAATCTGGCTGCAAAACCCACCCACCTACACGCTCTAGGGAACAGAGACACGCTTTCCTCCCAGATACTCAGGGGCAGCCATCAGCCCCCTGCCTTGCTTAGCACATGACCCCCTACTGCAGCCAGATACCTGTGCCTACTGCAATCACCCCAGCCCATCTAGGACTCTAGGTGAGAAACTGCACCACACAATTGGTGACCGACTACCTAGATACCTGAGCTGACTTCATACAAGAAAAGCAAACGGACTCCTGGGCTCACATACCTAGTAACAGCTCTAATCACCTGGTTACAGGACACGAGAGCTTCAAAGGCACGAATAATCAAACTAGCTCACATAATCAGCCTATT